AATGCAAAAGCCACATTGGAGATAGGGGTAAGAATAACTTCAGGTGATTCTCCTTAGTAGATGTAAGGTGAGAGAGGAGCAAAGAGCATCTTCTAAATATGATTTTTGCACAGAGTTCAGGCAAGCAAGGATATCATAAACTATTTCCCCTGAGAATTTCAACAATTGTTCTGTATAACACTAAGGTGCCTGAGCTATATGTGATCAGCTCTGCCAAAATGCTCTGAATAGCCACACTGCTGTGCTACACCCATTCCTCTTCCACTCTAATACAGGATCCAAGGCAGGGTGGAGAGAGGAAGTCGGTAGCTCCTTTTTATAGTGCTTTACAAGGAGCTCTAGAACACTCTGAAGACACATCCACTCACTAAACACTATCAGTCTTGTTATTCAGTACAACAGGTATCCCAAATAATTTCTTAAATGACAAATTTGTTACATACTGGAGGGCTGGAGGGGTGAGAAACTTACGTCCATTTTGCGAGCGGCCGTGTCCTGATCATAGTGTCCCATGAGGTTTGGGAAAAAAGTCATATTGTAAGACATTCCTGAACATCTGGAAATAGTAATTGGCTCACACGTGAATAAGCTGTGCCCTTGCACCAGAGCTAGAAGTAAACTGCAGGTCGCAAAGAACACAAGTGCTCCCATTTTGTCAGGATCTCCAACTTCAGCACATCGCTCTGTTCAGTAGTTAGACCGGCATTGCACAAGGATAAAAACTTGCATCTTCCTCTGCCAGCTCCAGCACAAGGCAGTAAGGCACACAATCGGACTCCTCCGAGCTGCTTTAGCTATTGCCCCATTTCAGCTGAGCGTGACTTTACTAAATCACTTCTTCGAGCCTGTACGTGCAAAGACGGGACAGAGAAGTGAACAGCAGAAACGCCCCGACCGCGACCACCCGTCCGAAGGCGGAGCTCGGCCTCCCGGCAGGCGAGAGGGCGACTCCGGCCGGGCCGGGAGCCCCGCGGCCGCTCTCCGACCCCCACACGCCGCCGGGGCCGCGCTCGGCGCAGCCGCGCTCCGGGAGCGGCGCCTTCGTCCCCGCTCCCGCCCGGGCCCCGCAGCCGCCGCCGCTCCCAACGCCCGCTCCCGGCCCCGCCCTGGGAAGCGGCGCCCGCGGGCTCGGCAGCGCGGCCGGCCCAGGACCCGCGGCTCGCCCGGCGCCGTATCCCCGCCACGCCCGGGCCGCGCCCCCAACGCCCCCTCACCGGACCCGCCTCCCGGGGCCACCCCGCGGCAGCGCTCCAGGCTGGAGTCGCTGCTCCCCGGGGCGAGACGGGACGGGGCCCGACCCGCTGCCCGCCGCACTCACCGGCGGCGGCCCCTCCGCGATGGCCGCCCCGCGGCACCTGCAGGATGTGGCGTCTGGCGGGCGGGGCGGGGCGGCCGCACCTTCCCGCCCCGGCGGGGCCGGGGGCCGGGGCGGCGGGCGGGGCTGCGGGGAGCAGGGGTCCGGCCGTGTGGCCGGGGCCTCGGGGTCGTCCGTGCTGTCCCAGCGCCTCGCTTGCGGGGGGAGCCCGGGCTGAGAGGGGCTCCGAGACTGCAGCACAGACGAAACCGGCGTGAAAATCCCTTCAAACTGACTCGGCACTGGGGTTTTCGTTAACATCTCTGTAATGCTCTGTATAAATTCTGAAGGCAACTTACAGACGTTCGAGTGTCGGGGGCCATGAACCTGTCCCGCCGCTGGAGCGATCTCGAGGATTGTTTCCAAACGCACCTCGGCCTCTGCCAGGCGGGAGGGCTCCGTCGCGGAAACTGCCCTGCGCTGCCACCTTCGCTGTCACACCTTCACTGCCACCTTCACTGTCACCTTCACTGGCACACCTTCACTGTCACCTTCACTGTCACACCTTCACTGCCACCTTCACTGCCACCTTCACTGTCACACCTTCACTGTCACCTTCACTGTCACCTTCACTGTCACCTTCACTGTCACACCTTCACTGCCACCTTCACTGTCACCTTCACTGTCACACCTTCACTGACACCTTCACTGCCACCTTCGCTGTCACGCCTTCAGTGCCATCTTCACTGTCACCTTCACTGTCACCTTCACTGTCACACCTTCACTGCCACCTTCACTGTCACCTTCACTGTCACACCTTCACTGCCACCTTCACTGTCACCTTCACTGGCACACCTTCACTGTCACCTTCACTGCCACCTTCACTGCCACCTTCACTGTCACCTTCACTGGCACACTTTGCTGCCACCTTCACTGTCACTGTCGCTGCCACCCTTGCTGTCACCTTCGCTGCCACCCTAGTTGCTACCTTCACTGCCACTTTTGCTGGCACCCGAGCTGCCACCGTCCTGCAAAAGCCTGAATCCTCAAGACGTGACAGATGCAGACACTCAGTATATGAGGCTACAGCTGAAAAAGAGATTGATATTAAGAATTCATGTTCAGCTATTGAATTTAATGAAGGAAAGGGAAGTAATCAGAAATATTTGCTGAGGAAAGGGACGCTGTGGTGAGAACAAAGGGAAATGACTGTTCAAGTGAAGGAGGAGCATTGTGGTGACTTTGGTGCTCAGACTACAGCTGTCTTCCAGAAACGCGGCTCGAGGATGTGTGAACTGTCCTCCCACTGCTCCCACACCTGCTGCTGGCTGAGACCACACATACCAGACAAGTACTGGCCAGCAGTGCTCAACTGTGTTCACAAGCACGGGCCTGAGCTAATGAGACCTAACTATAGAAACTGGGAAGGTTACTAAGCAGAGATGACCAAATTTCTCAGCATGGAGCCATCCAAGGTCTCATCAGGTTGTTGTTCAGCCATGCAAGTTGCTCCACGCTCCAGGACTGGAACAGGAAACACTAGATGCCAAGACATGCAAACCAGATTTAGGAATGGCTTGATGATGTTCAGGCAGCACTGCCTCTCTTCTAATGAGCCCCTAGATAGTCTGTGCAGCCTGGCACATTCATCCAGAGAACCCCTCCATGGATTTTGTGTGGAGAGCAGGAACTTGCATGTGGTTATTCAGAAAACAGTATCTGGAAACTCTCTATTCGTGCAGATATTTTGTGGGTCATTGCCTGTGTCACCCTAAAGAAACATAAAACTCCTCCAGATTCCCTTACACCAAACCATTTTAGTACCTCTATGAATCATGAGGAAGATTATACCTACCTGCTGCATATCTGCATAGCTCTGCCAATTGAGCCCATGGAGTAGCTTGATAGCTGGAATTAAATTTGCTGTACAAACAAGCAAATTATGCTAAATTAAATGTTATTTGCAGATTGTGGAAGTTAATGTACTTTACTGTATGATGACCCCCATCTACATTATCCTTTGTCATTGCTCCATTTCTCATCTTCCAGCTATCTTCTGTCCTGGTCTCTCTCAGTAGCTCTTCCTATCCTAGAAATACTACATTTTTCTTTTCATGAGCTCTGGAAGGCCACATACTCTAGGGATCTGGAGGTGAGAGCCCCAGGAGCATGCAAGGGGCAGTTTCCCCACTCCATTTCTTCAGGAGTTCTTCTTGTGAAGTTCTTGATCAGTCCTTGCTGAAGCTGCAGAGTTGCTCTCAGCTCTGGGAACACCATCAGGCACACTGAAACCTTGAAGGGACAAAGCATGTTCAGTGCAGATTCGCACTCCACCAGATTTCTAATGAACTCTCCTTTCTAGTTCCATTGACTAAGGCATTATATAAAGTTGTGGCTTAGTTTGTTCCATTAGAATGCTTTTTTTTTTTTTACATAAATCTTTGAAAAACAGATATGGTTAAGTAATATTCTTTTCCTTCCCTAAAGACTCTCATGTTTTTATTGGATGACAGGAAAAGGCAGAGAACAGGAAGCATGAACCCTTTCTTCAGTCACTCTATTAATATACTTTCTTTGCTCAGAACCCAGTTGTTAAGCAAGTTATTCCAGAGGCTGGTTCTCAGAGTGTGATCTAAATATATTTGTTTCTGGCTCTATTAAGGTCTTGACTAACCAGAGTGGGGAATGTGAGCACTCTCTTTGGTATCTAGCAAAGCACCTTTAAGTATAATTAAGTATTTTAAGCATGTGCGCAGCTATATTGCTGATTAGGGATGCAGCTACTCAGATGTGTAAATACTTTTCTTATCTGGCACTGGAGATATTTGTTAACATTCCAGTTAATATTGATTTGCTGATCTTCCCTGGCACTGCCTCAAATAATTGTAGTTTAGCAATTTTTACTGCAAAGAGTTTAAGTTATTTAAAGCCTTATTTAAATCCTAGGTTATCTTCAGATGTCTTTCAACAAGAAGGGAATTCAGCAGTCACGCACAGCAGGTCCTTTCCAAGCTCTGCTTGCTCCCACCATCTTTGCAATGGATGTGCTGCAACAGGCTTTGTGCCATCCCCTCCATGCCCATGCTCCCTCCAACTTGCTTAAACCCACCCTCAGCAGAAACATTCACAACTTGCCTGGGCTGTGGGATAAAGCACCATTTTCTCCATCCAATTGTTTGTGGTGACATCCCTCCAGCAAAGGCAAACAGCAAGGTGAGGATGTTTACCTGCTGTGTGAACATGCTAGTGCCCCACGTGCTCACGCTTTATGGAGGAGGGATCTCAAGCGGTGGCAGTTGTCAGGAAAGAGCCTTTCTCTGATACACAGGAGGATGTGTGTGGTGGTAATGCTTGGAGTTTGCACACGAGTACTTGTACACGAGCTTTCTCCTCTTGACACATCTAAAAGCTGCATAATTGAATTGCACTGTTGGAACATTGTACCAAAGTTTGACCTAATGTAATTTAATGTTACAGATTTACCAATTACATAGTTTGATGTTGGCTGATTCAGTCATAAGGCTCATTATGTTCTTATTATTCTGCATTTAAAACACATTATTCATAATTTGTTGTAATTTAAAAGGACTAAATTGCCAGTAGATGGCACCAGTAAATCCTGTTCTGAGACTTAGAATGGCAAAGTGTACTTCTTGTCTTTTTCTCATGCATTTTGGAAATGAAAAAAATAGACAAAACAGCATTATTGACATAATTTATACTTTTTTGTTTACAGATATAGTTTATGAACAGAATGTTTGTCTGAAGTCAAAATTCTGCCATGTAATTGAATACATAAGCTCATGAGGAAGAACACAAAGATGTCTTACAGTAATTTCCCAGTTATTTAGAAAATCCAGTCATTGTGGAGTTAGTGCCTTCTGTGTACTTCTGCAGTCTCATTGCAGCTGTGTCAGCTTAAAACTTGTTTATAACATTTTCTTCCATAAAGCCTTTAAACTGTAACTCACCCCTCTCAACTCACTACAGCAATGGAGACAAGTGAAGGAATCATATAGAGAAAGCCAGAATGTTGGTGCATTGCTGTGTATTAACCACATTACTGGGTACTTGTCATGTTCTTGTGAACAAGAACATGTCATGTTCTTCCGTGAACAAAGTATGTTATTTAGACTTTAGTCCTCCAAAATATTCCAGCTGTGTGGGTTGTGGCACCCACACACAAGAAGATGTTGATTTCTTTGATGTAAGAAAGATCTCAAGAAAGATCTCATCTTTCATTTGTCTGTAAATGACAACAGCATGCCTTCACAGCATTGCTTTAATAAAACAGTGATTATGCTAATAGTATTTCTTTCCAAACAGGTTACCTCACCTAGCCTCGGATATTAAGAACAATGCAAACTAAACAGGAAGTATGCTTGTGAAGAGTAAACTGTCCTAACAGTTTAAGGCCAAGGACACCTTATTCCTTGTGGATCTTTAGCAGCTGCCTTCACTCCTGATAAATCTGCAGCCCATCTGGGTGGGTGGCAGTAATGATAGCAGCAGCAGTGAGTGTTTTTCTTGACAGAGCTCCTCTTGTCCCATTGTTTCTGTGGCTGGAGTGGAACTCGCCTTAGACAATGTCACACAGGCAGGGGGAAAAGAAATCTGTATTTCAGAGCATGGGTACTATGGAAAAGATTGATACAAACCAAGCAGTCTGTTAGCGTGGACAGGCAATCTGTAGGTGATTCTGACAGCAAAGCAGAAAATTACGGTTTAAGAGGCTTATTGTAGCTTTGGGTTTTACTCCCTCCAAAACATCAACCCATTAATTTGAGGTGAACTGCCCATTTCAATACAGTGTGCAATTATCAAAGCAGGAGTGTCACACATAGGTAAAACCTACAAAAGAAAGGCCTTGTAAGACCATGGTTCAGGCCTTGTTACTTCAGATAAGTATAGCTAACAGCGAGCCTGTCCCATGAGAACCTGCAAGCACATCAGCCATTGCTCATGAAAACTGTCCGACACCTGTGAAAATAAGAAGTCTATCCCATGAGAATCCATGAAGAAAAAATGCGAACATCTGCTGAAGAAGAGGGCCTTAGCACATATACACATGAGCACCTATGAACCAATGAATTGAGTGGCAAGAAAGTTACTAACCAATTAAACATGAGGCTTTTGAAGGCAGTATAAAAATAGGCTGTGAACATTGAAGGGCAGCTTTGGCTGCTTGACTTTGAAAGTGTTGTGTCCTCACAGCAACACAGGATTGACTTCACACACCTTTCAAATGCTGTTCTTTAAGATGGTAGTTCAAGATATTTATTGAAATGTGAGCATGCTAGAGATACAAGAAAACAATAGCTTTGGAAGTTCAGAGGCACCTACTACAAGGTGATTCATGTCAGCCTGTAAAAGGCAGACTAATGAACATCCACAGAAGTGTTTCAGGACACTGGTAATTATATCCATCCCTTAACAAGCTACTGTATCATCTCTCCTCATCATCCTCATTCTGTGTTGTAGGGATTTCACAGGTTCTGGTGAACTACGTAACAGAGTACCTTGTCAAAATAAAACAGATCTGCCTGCAAATACATCCTCTCAACACCTCCTCCCAGTGGAATTTCTGGAGTAGCAGATTCACTATTTGGTAAAATGTGAAGGAAGAAGTTCAGATAAGAAGCACACATTTTCCATTATTATTGCTTCTCATTTTCTTTAATAGCATTTCTTTTAAAACTTGTGGAATAAAGTTATTGGAAATGTGTAGAAAATTTATTAGAAAGTGTAATGATCACTGTATGCATTATCTTTACAAAGGGAACAACAAGTCATTTTCTGTCTTTTTTTGGTCACTGTTTATGACAACAAAAACTGATTTTATTAATGGTTTTAATGCTCAAAAATAATGCTTTTCCTAAGCCTGTTTGCAGGTGCTCCTAAGCTATTGTAAATAGAAACATCATGCAAAATATTAAGGATGTTTTCGACTGAGACATACAGTTTTGCCTGAGATCAATGCACAATAAAAAAAATGAGTCACACTTCAGATCTTATAGTAAGTATAACCACCTAAGAACTAATTTCTCAGGTTAATAAAACCTGCTACATTCCAGGACTTGTGTCAGCATAACTGTTTTCAATTAGGATTTGCAAAATAGGGTTCTGGAACAAGTTATACCATGTCCTGGGAGATAGTGGTGACCGCTTTTAAGACTTCCAAATTATATAAAACTCATTTTCTTAGTCTCCTTCTGTGTTTTTTCATCCTTGGTGTTTAAGATCAACCATCATATAACCAGTCAATGTCTGGAAACTAAGCCTTTCCATCCAGGAATTTGTAGTCAGATAATGGAGACAACTGTGTGACTGTGAACACATTTCAAGTACAAATTATAGCAGAAAATAAAATCATGGAATTATAGAATGGTTTGGGTTGTAAGTGCGTCTTAAAGATCATCTCATTTCAATTTCCCTGCCATGGGCAGGGACATTTTCAAATAGACCAGGTTGCCTAGAGCCCCATCCCACCTGGCCTTGAACATCTGCAGGGATGGGGCAAGTGGAACATGGAATATTGTCAGGCAAAAAAATTAAAATAGCCAAAACCAATAATGAATAAGAGAGGAAAGATTTTAGTATGCATCAGTAGTAATCACAGTAGGTCATAAACAGGAAAAAATACTTCATTAGCAAGGGATTGGGTCTAACTATAAAAATGCTTTTTGTCTGACTACATCTAGTTAACATTCAAATTTGTCTTCCCATCTGGCATACCAGAGTTTCAGTAATTCACAGATATCATCAACTATGGCAGCAGACAATTTGAGACACAAGGAGGCAGACAAGGGGCTAATCACTACTCTCATGTATTGTTACATGACTTTTGTACAAAGTGTACTGATTTTATGTTTATGCTTTCATTTCCCTTCTTGGACTTTGTGACATATAAGTGAGTGTGTTCAACTTGAAGGTGAAAGAGGAGGCCAAAAGTTAGAAATTAAAGCTTCAGATAGAGAAGGAAGGCCAGAAGCCAACAGGGACAGAGGGACAGAATTCTCCAAAGCATAAATATGAGAAGCAGAGGAGGAAGGCCAGGAGGCTCTTTGTTTCTCTGAGAAGAGTGTATGGGATGCTGGGTGAGAGTTTACTTGCTGGATGGGGATGGCAATTATAAAGCTCAGCTGTGGGCAATTGCTAAGGATCTTACAAAACATCCAAAATGGCAAAGCAAAGCAAAATGTGGCATATAAGCAATGAGAAAAGGCAAACCTGAGATACCTGGTGGGATTTGTGCCTCTCTGTGACACAGGAATCTGAACCCACCCTTCTCAGAGCACTGGATCATAAAGGCCTATGGTGTTGTTTTCCAGACAGGGTTTATGGCAGAGAAGTATCTATAAAGCATTCCCTATTAAAAACAGAAAGTGAAAGGCATTCATGCCATCAGCTCCTGGATCCTGGAGACCTTCTGAGAAAAAGAGACACTTAGGATTCTTTGGAAAGTTCTCAGGCCTTCCTTACCAACAGCAGCCTAATCATCACTGTTATCTTTGTCCTCTGAGGACCCAAACTGCCCTTGAATGATAGAGATGTCCATGTCCTCTTCCATGGAGACACTCTTGTGCATGATGTGGTGCCCTTGTCCTGAAATAGAACACAATTCAGAGCCTTCCAGTAGCAGAGGACAATGACTTAGCAATGGATAACTGCTAATTGTTGTATTTAACTGTTTCCCAAGTCCATCTCAGGGCTTTAATTTTAGTCCTGCACTGCAATGAGTTGCACTTCTACCCGTGCTGGGCCATATGGGCACAAAAGACCACAGTGAGTCATCCTGTGCCACCAACAGCCACCTCATGCACTGATGATCCTTAGCTCAAACTTTCAGGCAGTTTAAGAACCATCCAAAAGGTTCAATTTGTATCATGATATGCTGGAAGTGCACATCCTTCTGGAACTTTCGCGGTGGAAAATGAAGGCAAAATAATCCCAGCATAGTAGCAGAGGCCATAGGTCTGCTGAGCAGCAAGATAGAAAGGTTGACGATGGTTGGGAGCCACTACAGACTTAAGGATACTGACAATACTTAAAGGAATAGGCCAACCAATCCATGTAAAGAGGAGCATAGATATCCAGAGATGACAACCCTTTTTACAGAGGTCAGAAAGAGAAAAATATTCCATACCAAAAGTATTGTAATACAGCTCCCAGGACCCTTTCAAAATGTCAGTAGAGCAAAATCGATAGACAAGTAAAAAAATCAGTTTAACTCACCCAATTCAATTTCTGATGGAAATGCAATTGAGATAATGTTACTAGAATTTGTCAGTTGGGCCCTTGGATTCATAAATCCTTCATAAATTCAATTGTCCTGTCTCTTCTTTGTGCATCAGATGTCACAACAGCTAGCATAAAGTACTTAGAAACTTCATTCTTCACCACTCGAGCTGTTATTTGCTCTTGAACAAAGGGACTGATTAAATAACAGACAGCATATTTTTTTCTATTCTCCTCTTTTCACTTGCATTATACAAACACATGCCTCATTATATTTTGCACCAAATTAATTCAACTTCCTTAGAAAAACTCAGATGAAACTGTTTAAGCAAGTGTTGGGGAGTAATTTATCCTAAAAACAGATACTAACAATTTTAATAGAAATAAAAAATTCTGTTATCATAACAAAAATTTTAATGTATTCATTGATTTATACAGGTATAACTAGAACAATTATTTTATCCAATGGACTGACATTCCCATAATTTCATAATTTGTATGTTTTCCTTGTTCCATTCTCCTCTCTGTGCCTTTTCTGTCAAAATATACGTGTTTCTGCATCTCTGCCAATTGCATTGTGATGTTTCCTCAGTCACTAGCAAATGCAAGGTTTCTTCACTCCTGGGAGTAAAGTGAATAATTTAGCTTAGCTTTTGTTTGAGCACTACAAGAACTGTGTAAGTGAAACTGTTGAATGCCAGGAACGAGTTCTCAAATCTCTACCAATTTGGAAGAATCTAAAGTTGCTTTATATTCAGGAGCTCTAGCTGTGTGAGTTGAACTGCTGGTTTTAACCTGCTTCTGAATTTGAAAGCAATAAAAAGGGAAGACAAACAAAACTGCATTACTAGAGCTTTCTACTTTCATAGTAATTTGTAGTAAAGTAACATGGTTTCTTCTAGAAACTGCAGTTAAGTCACTTTATATCACAATGCCAATATAAAGTGTAGAGAGTGTGCAAGCCATATTCACTTTAAAGTTTTTATGCTAACAAAGTAGACAATGTGGTATGCAATGGCCTTAGTAGTGGTGAAAATTAGTGTCTCTTGAATCAGAACTTACCTCTGCTAAGTGCAACCAAAATGGTCAGTTAATGGAAGGAGAAAGATGTCACATAGATTTATTGCCACTGAGTTTTAGATATATGGAAAAAAATCCTAGAGTATAAAAAAATTATACTGAATTGCTCTGGTGTAAGCAAAGCTTAAACTTGTCTGTCATGTAAAGATGGGAATCATTATTTCTTTTGATCTCAACGATATCACAAATATCCAGCAGAGGTGGAAGGTGCTATTACTTTTCTAAGAGTACAACAGACAATCTGAGAGCACTGTCAAGATATGTTTTATTATACTGCACATATCATAAAAGTGGTCACCTGGACTTGCTCAAGCAAATCTCCAACAGGTTCTTGAGAGCACAGAAATATATCTGAGTGGCACTGACTGTTGTAGCATATTGGATAAGCCCAACATGAATTGGGAGAGGAGCAGTCCAAAGAACTAAGAAGACATAAATGAGGATATCCTGAGCTAATAAGAAAAGATGATAAATTTGCAACTGAAGATGTCCTGGACCAGCACAGTTTCATTGCAGAGGGAACTGGTTGATTTGTTCCTGTGTGTTCTCCAGAGGTGAACTTGCACATGTGCCACATGTGCAGAGCAGATGGTCTGGGACCAGGATCCAGGAGCAGGTATTGGAGTTAAGAAATCTGGCAGCTTAAATTCACCCTGTGATAAAAATGCATCTGTAACATGAAATACCAGCAAGAGCTTATTAGACAGAAATTAAAAATACCTATATGGTGAAGGCATAAGAAATTATTTCTCACCATGGATGCAAGTAATCCATACATTTTAAGAAAAGACAGCATGCAGACAGATGAGCAGCAATGATGACACTAATTTTGTGCTGAGGAAAAAAAATATATACCAGTATATATTCTGGAAGTTATTCTGTTATACTTGTTCATTATTCCTCTAAATTGTCAAACGATATCAGGCACAAAACAGGGACAGAAAATCCTTACCAGATATAAAATCCCAGCTAGAGCAGGTATGATTATAAAGTGTTGGCTTCCACAATGATTTTAAACATGTTAGTTCATCTGAAAGATGGTTTTGAATCAGAAATATGAATAATGAATATCATTTGCATAGGACACTATACATGTACATTAATATTGAACTCCTTACATCCCTACAGTTCCCAGAGGTGATGATACTGCTTGGGTGGGGCTGTGTCTGTTCAGTGAGTTAATGAGGATTAATTTTGCTCCTGTGCTTGGCAGTTGTGATCATGAGCTTTAGTTTTCAGGCCCATGTCTGAATTGGTAAAATTATGCTCTCAATAATATAATAATGTGTCTAATAATGTGCTGCAAAAAATATGTCGTATTAACAGTAAAGTGGAAAATAATAAAGTGGAAAACTTTTTCTAGGAGGGAACTAATTTGAGGATGAAGGAAATGCCACTACACTCCAGAAGGGCTGGTTTAGGGACTTGAACAGGCCACAATGCCCAATGTTTTAAGTTCAAATCAGTCCTTGAGTCAGGCTAACGGAACATTAAGCCACTTACTAAGTGTGACCTGGAAAGTTCTACATGCCTTGCATGAACAACCTCAATATTTCATTTCCTGGTAAAACCAGATACAGATGAACATGAATAATTTCATGCCTTTTGTATTTGACAGCTCTTCATAGCTGATAAAGAATAGGCTGCTGCTTAGCTATGGTGTCTTTTCTTAAGCTGCTTTTTGACTGTGAGCAAACTGTTTTTTCCATCTGTGCAGTAATACCCCAGACATGTTTCCCTGTATCCAAACATGTGGGTGTTTTGCAGAGGTTAATGGAAATTAAATTAAAGCTGAATAATACTGATTATAATGCAAGAGTGTGCAAGCAAAGCTAATTAATACAACTGGCAGTATGGCTCAGTCTTGCCCTATGACACCACTCTCTCTTTCTCCCTCAATCCCATTTTTTTCCTAAGCAGGAGCCCACAGCAACCTAAAGCTACTTGTTTTTTTATACAGTCTTGAATGATAAATATACAGCAGCATCCCACTTTTTGCACTCAGGATTTAAATTATATTCAATCCCCCAGAAAGAAATGAAAAGCTATTATATTCTCCCTTTTTCATTCTTGCTTATGAACATCCTAGTTCTACCATTAGGATTACAGTATTTCCTCAATTTTAGTGTTTGCTGAGTTTTTCTGTGCAAGGAGCTGTTGCAAATAATCTTGGATTTTATCTTGATTAAGTGGCATATGTCAACAAATATAATTTCTGGTGGACCAGCTCACTTTTTATCTTATATTAATGACCAAACTTTGCCATTAGTTTATCAAAGGCCAGAAGAATGCCTTTTAACTATGGATAGTATGCACAGGCTACCTAAAAAAAAAAATTTAAAATCCAAATGAAAGATTTGAAAACTGGAGGGTGATAGCAGGACAGAATGAAATCTTGCATCCCTGCATCTTAGAGTATATCTTATCTCTTGTAAGCGCCTTTTTCACATGCTTCATTGAGCCAGTCTACAAAGGAGGCACCTGAGAAGGCACTGGTGCAATGAGGGATGCTTGGTCTGAGGACAATGAAGGTTTAGTTTTGAAACACTGCAGTGTAATTGAGTTCAAAGGCTCCACTTACTAGGTACTGTCTGATCCCAGATTTTGAAGCATCCTGTTTGTAGGGTTCCCTTGTGCTGTTACACGCCTGACTACTGGACTATGGCTTCCTTGTGTCCCTAAATCCTTCTCTTTTTTTTTTGGTACATCTGAAAACCATTCCTTTGATACTATTCTTCCTTTTCCACAGGAAACAAATGAGTTGCTGTATCAGCATCCTGGCCAGGAATCAAAGAGAATAAGCAACTTGTCAGGCAACACCCAGGGCACAGACAATTAGGATGGGGATGGGTATTTCAGCAATAGCTTTTCTGGTAGTAAGGAAAAATATAAGGAAAATTTAATGCAATTTTGGGAAAAAATAAGAAGTATCATCTGTAAAAGTTACTTTTAAAAGCTACTTTTCCATCCTGTGCTCTCCAGTTCAAGCAGGAATAAGAGCTTTTCTTTAGCTATGTATTCGAGTTGCCTCATAGTTGCCTCATGGCATCTTAGTAGAGAAAGTGTCTCAGATTCCCAGTGTCTTCCACTTTAGCCATGACAGCAACCAGAAACTCTCCCATTTATAATTACAGAGGTACAACTGTATTTTGACCTCATAATCCCTCTTTGGCAAATACACCAATTTCTTATGGGAATATATATATATATTTTACCTTCTTTCTTATGACCAAACAGTCCATGAGCCAAAACCTGAGGACATCAGATACAGAAATATTCTGATTCCATGTATAGCAGATGTGGGAACTATTCACTACACCTTTGCTCTCTTTGATCTCAGCTTTAAAAGCTAACCCAACCATAAACACAGAAATGTGAAATAAGTGGAGTAATAAACAGACACTTTAAAAATGTTCTTTATTTTCATTTGCAAATTTAAAGTCAATCTTTATTAATTTGCAGAGTACAAAAATTTTCATGTTAATCTAGTTTGAATTTAGATGTATTTGTAAATAAAATAAGCCTGAATTTTCAAATACCATTTCTGTGCACAAATTATATATAATTTTCATATAGCATGTGAAACAGATTTCAGTTCAAAATATTTTACACTTGGTTATCAGAATTACAAACAGAAATTAAGGGTTCTCAAAAAAATGTGCCTGAACTGCAGAAGTACACACTAAAGACATTGCAATATACACATGCAGAGACATGCACAAATAAATATCTATGTATATGAACATACTAGGTAGATCAAAAATACCTGTGTCCTGTTTTCTATGAAATCTCAGTGATTTAACAAATAAGAATGCATGTTTAATGCAGTATTCATATATTGCTTACACAATAATTATAATTTCCTGTTTATGTCAGTACAAAATAATTTCAGCCACACAGTAAAACTGTGTGTCTTCCAGTCAATGTCCTACAGTGATGCTAAAATGAAGAAATACATTAAAGAATCATAAGGGAGAAGATGAGAGAATAGTGCAAGATAAAGCTGTACTGAGTCTTTGAGGAGATTAATTTGCCTCATGATGAATTTGTAATTGTAAATCCTCTCTCTTCTTTAGACAATATCCTCTTTCTTTTGAATGATTCCATTTCTCACATAGTGGAAGAAGATATATCAAGATATATAGGAAAATCCTATGTACATATTGTGTTGGAATTGTGGAAAAATGACAATGTTCCTTTCTGTTTAAAATCTGAACTTAGATAAATTATAAAAACTCACCATCTGTTGGCAAATCATTTCAGAAGAAAGTGTATTGTTTCAGTGTACCTGTAGAAATCTTCGTGTGCAGCCAAGGGACATCTAACAAAATATGTGGCAAAAATTTCTTTTTAGGGGAAAATTACATTTTAAAAATCCTGGCATATAAGACAGAGATGCCCACAGGTCTGTTATCTGAAAGTCCATGTCTTTTAACATTGTTATTTTAGTTGATGTCTTTGAGCCATTTGTATTTGAAAGATGATGCTCAAAGAATAGACCCTGTAAATAAGATTTCTCATTTCTAGGAAGGCCACCTGGAGTAAAAATGTCCAGATGATTCTTTGGGCTTGTTTCTTCCACTACAACCAACATGGGAATCTATTATGAGGACTTTAATGTGTCTGAAGTGGTATAGAGTATATTCTGTCACCGTAATTATACAGAGTGGGGTATTATTTTATTAATTGGTTGTTTCTACTTGTGGTTATCCCTGGTAGAAGGAAAGTAAACATAAATATATCCCAGTCTGTGTACAGAAGCAAGATCTACATCTCCACAACATGCTCTTAGTTTTATTAAGGTCATTGGAAGTTTGCACATCAAACACTAAGAAGCCACCTAGGATATAATGTAATTTCTTTTCAGTTACTAATGCCTAATGAATAAGAACAGTAATATATTACATGAGGAGTGTGTATAAAATTGCTTGTTACTAAAAATGGCTTTTACCGCAGAAGTGAATCCAATCTTTGAATGTCATAAAATCAAGTTTTGGGATATCAAGAGGTCTAGGGGATCTTGGAGTAGCTCAGGAATATTACCATGAGCAGTCCAGGGCAGGCAGCATCCAGCACTCTGCAGCTGCCACGCTGATGGAGGATGTGGTCAGCATGAGCAAGGCCTGTGCTGTTACCCAGATAATTGTGTACCAAGGCCATCTCCTGCAGACATCCTGTCACCTCTCATGCTCAGAATACAAGACTCAAGAGCTGCCTCCCTGCTGGCTGCTGGCATGAGCCAGGGCTGTGGTGCATGTGCCATGCAGCTCATGGGATTCCTCCTGTGGTGTGACCCAAGCTGTTTGACACATCTGGTCAGCACTTCATCACTAAATAATTTCTTAGCTAATAAATAATCTCACTGCCAGAACTCTTTTGTGGTATCCACCCAAGGCCACAAAATCTCTGGAACAGCTTCTTACACAACAAACCTTCCTTCAAAATCCTGTTTACCTTTAAATACATCAGGATCATTATTCACTTTCTGTAGCTTTCTTTTATCATATGAGTTTATACTGCACTCTCTCTGCCAGTAAATCCTTTTAGAATATGATATGGTATGCAAAATTCTGGCTCTAACTCTGGATTCCAATTTGCCTTTTTGTTGGAGTAATTAATAAACAATTCCTATTGCATAGACTTGTACAACAAGGAAAGTAACTCACACACCTAATCAGCAAGCTATTAAAATGATCCTAATACAGAATAAGCGAGGGTTCAGTTCACAATCCTATTCTTGTATGCTTATTTGGAGTATTTATTTTAAACTTTAAGGATATATATATATATATATATATATATATATATATATATATACGGCTCTTTAAGGAGATATATATATATATACATATACATATCTATATGTCTAATAGGGAAGCCAAATACATTAATACATTTACCTCTTTTATCTTCATAAACATGCAAACTCATACAGAATATATATTATTACTTCCATATTAAGAAGTAATACATTGAATTTATTCCTAGACTTCACTATGCTGAACATTTATATTTCTTTTAGATACATATTTATTATAATCATGGAATACTGTGGTACAGGATACTCACAATGTATTAAGTAAATTCTGCACCGTGAATTAATTATATCTTCTCAGAGAAAGTTAATTTTTTTGAACTGACATTAGAATATGACTTTTAAAATTGTGATTATTTTCTTGTAATGTTAATGGTAACTTTTTTCCTAGTCAGACTGGGCTTCAACACAATTGAAGGGGCATTTATAAAACAACCAAGTAGCCATAACTTACTAGTTAAGACTAGGACCTTCAAGTAAGGCTAATCAATATGAAAGCTACTATTTTTAAGACCAAAATTATGTCAATATGAACAATAAATTAAAACCAAGTAATTGAACATGTAATATATAAAAATGTTATTGTATGAATTAACTATATATAGCCTATATATATAGCTGAAAAGAGATTTAGTAGAAGACTAGACTTTAGTCTCACTTTCTTGAAATATCTGGGTTTGTGTTTTAAAATATGTGAGTTCTTTAAATGAACTCTATGTGGGTTTGAATGTCCACACATTCAACAGATGAATCTGAATGCAGATTCATTTGTTCATTTCCTGGTTTTAATTGTGATGAGCTCTACCCCTTATTATCCAGTCTCATCTTAATAGCAATGTGGAACAGGACATACACAAGGGATGACATGGAAGTTAGCAAAACACAAATGTCATTCATTTCTGTGTATGTCTGTGTGGTGCCACTGCTTTAGACAAATGACATCTACAGTGCTTGCAGCTGGTTTCCACAAGACCTGCTTCTGGAGGCACTCAGTAGCAGCTGCCTGCTGTGTTCAACCTGGAACACCTAGAGACCTTCATGTCTTCAGTGAATGACATTTAAAGTGCAGTGAAGCTTTGTTAAGTCCATCCTCACCTGCAATTTTCTTCATTAATTGGCACAATTCTTTGTTTTTCTTCTGTCACTTTGTCTGATGCCTTTTGTAACATTAATGGCGACTTCTTGTGTGGAGGTTTTCTGTGTGTCCCATTTACTCTGTGAGAGTTTTAAACAGTACAGTGAGTTCCACGATGACAACAGAAAGAGTCACTGATGATTAACCCCAAATTTACAGAAACAGTTCTACGTAATAAATGTCTCCAGCATCCTTCACATGGCACTCTGATGCAGAGCAGCTGTCTCATTCAGTGTGGACACAAGTTTTTATATCTGTTGCAAAGGCAGCAGATGTCAGTAGGCTTTGGATCAACATTCTTGCCTATAATTATCATCTCTGCATGTGTGTACTATAAAGGCAGAGCAAATAAATCTGATTTCAGTCCAGAAGTGAAAATTCAAGGTTCTTTTTGATGTCACTGTGAATAGTGCATCACTAGCCTGAGCTGGAATTTGCTTATTTGATTTTATGTTTCTGATGTGAAAATGCAGTTTTAAAGTAACACTTACTTCTGCCTGCATACAAGACCCAAGCACAATATATACCTTTCAGAGCTTCATCAGTTTATTTTCAATATCCAAAAAAGTCAGTCTTTCTGAGGCATGCACATGCATCCCTAATTTAAATTTATACTTTTCCATCTCCCAGAATGTCGGCTTTTTGTCATAAGCAATGCACCATAATTCACAGGAAACTGGATAGGTCTAACAAAGTGTACCCAGATCTGGGCTGATAGAGACACACAGCTGAGTTAGGTGGGTTGGATTATTGCATTGCCAGCGTTCCATGAGATTATTTGTCAGCGTAAAGAATGCCAGGTAAATTAGTCGTTATTTACATGGTAAGAGTGCCAGGTAAAATAATGTTTGATAAAGTTCAGACACTGACATAATGGAAGGTTCATATATATCACAGAGGAACAAATGAAGTTAATTTGTTGCTGTGCATTATTTCACATTTCTGCAGCCTGAATATACCAGCTCCTTTGCTATTTGCTCCTCCAGTGCTACTGATCATGCAAGTACTTGCCAAAGACTACAATGAGAATCAAACCAGATTATTGTCAGTCAGGGACATAATCTGGATACCACCTTTTCTTTGGAGGGGTATCTGAACAACCTGTTACCTTCACTGGTATTAGCACTCATTTCTTTATTACTGTCTTCATCATCATCATAATCATCATCATCTTTTACTTCTAAATTGTTTTGACATTACTGGCATGAGAGGATGATAACATTTCCCAGACATAGTCAGTGTCAAACCTTATCCTCTTCAACAGCACAAACTGTACCCTGTCATAACCCTGCCACAGGGGCCAATGGCACAACCCAAGTCTCCCAGGAGCACCATGTGCTGCATTGCACTGTATTCTATAGCAAGTTGAGACAAAAGAAAAACAGTAGTCAATGTTCAGGTACATAAAATGGGTACATTTTGAGCTGCAGGGGATAATCCCTTTTCAACTCTAGGCATCTAAACTTAAACTGTTCACATTATATGCTCACCTTATGGTTCCCTCAACAGTAGAAAAACAGAGATGCAGAATAGCAGACCAGAGCTGGAGCCTACATTAGATACTACACTTTCTCTCTAGGCATATATATTTCTTTTTTGACTATAAGAAGTTTAGACAACTTACGTACCTGCATTGGATGTGGAGAATAACGTAAATGCTTTAGTTATGATCAGAATTTTTTTTGCACTTAGCTGCAACAGCACAGATACGTGTTACTGAATGTATCTCTGCTAGAAAATGCAGGAGGGTATCTTCAAAGTCATGGGGCCTAAGGGCAGGAGCCCACACTTCACTGAGTAGTACCATTACAGTCAACACTCTCATTGTTAATATGTTGTGGAACTTTGCCCATATTTCCTACTAAGTGCAATACAGAAGTAATTTTCCATTCAATTACAAAATGAGACAATTCTTTAGCAGTAGGACGGGTACACATTGTAATTATAAATTGTGAACAGGATTTCTTCAAATTGAATTAATAATTATGCTGTTCTGTTCAACCATATCCAACCTCACAAATTAAAATTTCTCTGTGGGCTAGTGGCTATGACAAGCATTTGGGCTTTTAATTTCCAGAAATCCCATGGCTTTAGATGTCATGCTGCTGTGGAATGTGTCCCTGTCCACCTGGAGGTGCAGTATCTCATGAAAAATACAGCGGTATCTTTTATGTCACCTGGGAATATCTGTACTATAGCAATAAAAAAGTAATAATACAATGGAGGTATAAAATAAATAGGCATGTACTGATGTGCTGTGTGTTGGCAAATGCAAGGTGAAATTCAATCTAAATTCCTTTTGTCATTTGCTCAGACCCCTTGGCTTAAGGATGTGACTCTCAAGATGGGACAACTTCTGATGGGGTGGGTGTAGCTGTTCTGCCACATGCACTTTCTGTGGAAAAATGTCAAAAGACAAAGCTGAGCAAGGAGGAGTGCCCACACTGGCAGTAATTCAGCAGAAACAAACTGTGCACACCTGAGGAGCAGGGACACCAGAGGAGCTTGTTTCAGATCTGACAGAGGCAAGAAACAAAGGCTGGAATTGCACAGAGGTGTTGCAGTCATTCTCTGTTTAAAAAAATGCAGCTAACAGGAATTAAGCTGAAGGAATGACCCAAATGGTGACCAAAAGCTGAAATTTGCTTGAACTTGAAAAGACATGATCCTTTTCATGCCCCATGTAGCATGCTAACAAAGTAAAACCTGTTCAATCTTTACATGTATATAAAGTCACTCAAACTCCATTTAAGTGTAAAATTAAGTCAACTGAAACTTTTTTTCCCCATCCTCAAAAAGAACAATATAAATATGACTTAACAAGGGAGGGAGGTCAGAGGAGACTCTTCCTTTGTGTCCTGGGATGGTCAACAGGCTGTACTCTCTCTTCCCCCATGGGGACACCTGTCAGACAAGCTTTCTTCCACAGTAATACTATTGCTTATGCATTCTGATATCAGTGCTTTTATCAACAGCTATTTGTGGACCTTACTTTGTCCAAGAGGCAAGAAATGTCACTATTTGTGAATCTGGAGTCTTGCTGAGTTTTCCCAGACTTACAGTATATGTCAGTTTTGCATCAGGGATTGCCTTCCTCACCAGAATTACTGAGCCCCCACACTGCACCTCTGGCACCTCACCAGACTCAGAGTGCCAGATTACTTACTCTGAAATATTGTCTGTGAAGGTCTCCCAGGATCTCAGACAGGCAGATGAGAAAGGGGAGGCCCCCAGGCTCACTACATCTGCAGACAGCATAGAAAGCAAGGGGGCGGGGGGGTGTGGGTGTCTCCCTTCCCTAATTTTTTATGTGACAGAAGAATTGGTGCAGTCAGCTGGATTGCCATGGATAAACAGCTACACAAGTATGAATATGCTCCTTCCCAGGCAGGCAAGGAATGAGCCCAAAAATTCTGGAAAGGCAGAGCAATTATTTGTGCAGTATTGGAGGCTCACCTTACATGAAAAAGGGAATCAAATAGTCCTTCCCTCAAATATATTATATATAGAATATGCTGCTTTGAAATCAGAAAATGGAGTATTAAAGTCATCACTGGCTTTTGATAGGGAAATAAAAGATTGGAAACCCAAAAACAAGCTTATTACTGAGAAATATAATTTTAAGATTCCACTTGCTTCAACAGAGCATAGGGAAAGGCAATTATAGTAGAAATTGGATAGGAAAAAAAATGCAGTGTAAACAAAATCTGATAGAGGAAATAGAGGGAAGGAAGACAATGGAATTGTTACTATCTTTGGAAACTGAGAAGCGGCACAAACAGTTACAGAAAGAAAAGGAGATAAAACAAAAACTGGAAGAAAAGGTAAAAATTATGCTTAAGAGGGCTGCCAATCCAGCCAGCATTGTTCAGATAAGAAAACCAATTGAAAACCATTCTCACCTTGGTGAAGAAGCTGAGGGGGCAGTGGCCACTCACCATTGTCTGAAGGAGATTGAATGCCAATATTACACCTTTAACTACTGCTGTGCCAAATTTTGTGGAACTGTAACTCAAATTGAGGGAGCATCCTATTCACAGAGGGCAAAACTAGACATAAAAGGTGTTGTTTATGATTCCACTCTGGGAATACCTCAAGGCTCTGTTCATGCTTACCCAGAAGGAAGTGCAGTGTACCTTTGAAAGATTCCCACAGGGACATAAACATTCACCCATGACTGTACATTTTGTGATTGCCAAACTTTTACTGTCTCACTCTCCCTAGATGTGAAATTAGATGATATTGTAGTAAGAGGAGACTCCCCTGAAAAAGCAGGGGAAGCAGCAACAACAGCATGGCAAGCACTTCTCAAGGTAGAAATTGAGATTTCCCCAGAAATGCCAAGGACCATGTAAAGGACTTTATCTGCTACATCTGCAGATAACCCAGAAGACAAGGCAATCTCCTTTCCCCAAATTTTTACCTAACACCTTCTCATATGAGAAACCAAGGAAGCAGTAAACCAGCTACAGATTTTGGCTTTCTTTAATCTGCAGCAGCTCAGCAGCTGCTATGCAAACAGGGCAGCAAGTGGAAGCCTGTAGGACACAGGTGGGTGGGTGGGCAGCTGTGGCAGGAGAAGGCTGGTCTTTGGTGTAGCCCCAAAGCCTTGCTCTTACAATGTATACAATGTACTCAACACATAAGTGAGGGGGAAAAGGGGGAAGGACCTGATCCAAAGCCTACTGAAGTTAAAAAGACACCCACTGACTTTTTCAAGCTTCATGTTCAGCTTTGAATGAACCAGGGCTCTGCAGTGCACATATTTTAAGCAGAACATCAATTAAGGGAAAACATGTTCCTTTTTGGATAATTAATCTAAATAGTTTGCACAATACATGCCACAGCTGGACTGAGTTGAAAGAAATTAACATAGGGGCTTTTTTTTTACTGTAGCAAGTGTGTGTTACTCTGATTGACAAATAAAACATCAATTCTGTGGCTGTTCAGGCATGAAGCACTGCCAGAGGTGCTCAGCTCAGTCATGCCATGCCTGTAGTGCAGCCTGGCACCATTTTCTCTTATCTCAAGACATTAAATACAGTTTCACTGCAAAGGGAAAGGCTGTCACAAAAGTAACTTAGACCTGGTTGAAGCTAGTGCTGGGCAATAGGGAACATAATCATACTCATACCTCTGAGGTCCTGAAGCCATTCTGTCTCTGTGCTGTCGTTCCCATGACTGTGGGGTTTGCACACTGAGAGCCACAGTTGTTCCTCTTCTCAGCATTCAGCATTCCAGCTGTGGCTGATGCTGTAGATACAGCTGTGTGAGCCAATTTCCCATCCTCCAGAAGACCTAGTAGGGGCACATGGAATTGGGCAGTCAATTTGCAGCTGGCTCTGGCGTCCCTCCATTTTGGCACATTTTGTGATTGTGCCAGTGATGCAAGGTGTGGTACAGTACCACAGTGAGAGCTGTCTACCTCTGTGGCATCTTCATCCTCACATTTGACACCATTTGGCCTTTTTTCTATGGTCCACTGCTCTGTGAAACATTGGCTCAGAAAACTTGGGAAAACAGTCAATAATGAGCACAGCATATCAGTAGATTTTTGTCACCTGCAGGTCTCCACTGACTTCTCTACACACACACCTCCTTGCACGACCAAGAGTTGAATTTAAGACCCAGAGAAGGCCTCCTTAAATCTGTTCCAGTTCTGGGAAATGAAGGGGTCAGATGTGAGCATGACAGATGAGACCAATATGGATGGAAGGGCTGCTCTCTACGTGGTCTTGCCTTGAATATTTTTTTCATTTGAAGTTGAGAAATTTAGAAAAAAGTTATTTCATGTTGTTTTGTCTATCAGCAATCAAATAAATTAGTAATTTGCTTTCTGCTCTAGCTGTGTGGATACACATGAACTGTACAATATGATATTGGACAGCATAGATGAATTTTCCCATCTTACTGCATTAACAAAAATCAGTTGTATTTATGGTGAGCGCAGAGCACTCAATGTCTGGTTGCAATTCTGGGTCTGAAATCCAAATACAAGGAGTAAGTGGGATGCATGGCTGTTGCTCTCAATTTAGTTTTTGTCAAAGCTTATTTATGAAGAGCGTTATGTTAAAACAGAAACAAAGAAGGCAAATTTACCAACTGGTAAAGCAGGTAACAAACCTAGAAAAATTAAGGAGTCACAGACACTAAGTGAGAAAAAAGTATGTGGAAAACCAATGACAAGCCACTGCTGTATGAAGTGACATTGTGATATTTGTGTCATCAAAACCTTCTACATTAATCAGGCAGGAATTCAAGTGCTGTGTTAAAAATATTTAAAAGAAAGCAAGGCCCTGAATTCTTTTTCAGAAATTTGTAAGAAAAGATAATTTGTCAGTAGAAAGCAACATTTGTCAGTATTAGCTAGCAAAGGTAATGACTGAATTCAATAAAGTTTCACCCAAATATTCAAAGACGTGGTCTTGAAAATATATAAAATTTTGTGAAATTAGAAAGTCTTTAAGATCTCTTCTGACTCAAGTAGTTCTATGATTCTGAGTTAAGAAGTCTGAATACAAACTAGTCACTGCATTTCCCTGAGCAGTCAGAAGATGGAGGCAGAGTATTCCAAAGACGCTTTGACTTGTAGCGGTGGTAACTAATAATGCTGTCATCTAGTTTTTGATAGAAAAAAATTGAGCAGAAACTTGAAAATATTATAAATTATTAAAAAAAATATTTCTCTTTGTAAACTGCTTTTTCTGCTAGATGTAAAAACTGATGTTTTTCTTGTGTCTAAGTTTAGATGCAACTTCAGTAAGGCAACGGTAAACTTCTCTCCCGCATCTCCCAAAATTGCCCACCTACTTATGTTTTAGGTCTTCCCTCTTCCTACCACCCACAGGACCAGAGGAGAGGCAAACAGTGCCTTGGTGCAGAGCGGTAAGAGGCAGAGGCTGGGACCCAGACAAAAGCTGCTGTCAGCAGGGGAGATGGGAGGCAATGGGCCACGGGTGGGTCAGAGCTCAGCCGGGACTCCGCTGCTTCACCTGCCAGTGGAGCTCTGAGAACAAGCCTGAGCACAGCTTTCAACAGGCAAACTGCACTGGGAATTACGTACTAATTCCATTAATTGAGCCTTTGACATTTCAGACATCCAAATGATGAGTTTTACCTTCTCTGGAGTCATCCTATGAAATTACTTTCCACCGTGTGTCTCTGGCTATTTGGCCTCTGACTAAATTGTCTGGTGAAACATCTGTCAGCTAAAAAGCCATTTTGTTATTAAGTCTAATTGTTCATTTATCAGATTGTGTTGCATCTTTTGGTCTTGCACAGAAAAATTTTTCTTATATTAAACCATTTCTAGAGGCTGATGGAAAATTGTCGGAATCTGTGGGTATTGGTGATTCTGAGATTGTAGAAAGTCTCTGTCTTTCTGCCCTGTTGCCAAAGAAGAAGCCATAATTCATCTGTGCTGTTTTCAAGGTTGTTTATTCTTGCTTATCTCTAACATGTTCTGCTGCCCTGCTGCAGGTTTGTCCTGCAGGGCAGCGTGTGGGGCTCTGCCCCTCAGTGGGATGGTACAAACATTATATACCAGAAACTACCTGTGCTATATTTACAATAATGTGCCAATATCTATCATCTACGTTGAACAGTGTGTCCCCAGCCTAAACCAATAGAAAAATGCCAACACTGCAGTGAAACATGGAGGGCATGAAGGAGGAAAAGGACAGGACACACCCAATTTCCTCCATCCTGTCCCCTTTGGACCCCTTATCTAGAATCCTAAAATTCTACTTTTGCACCCATGCCACACTTAATTATTACTCATATCAAACACTCAGAGCTTGTAATTCATCCTGTAAGATTGAAAACTCCTCTCCATGGACAGAGATCAGAGACAGTGTCTCTCGGGGCTCCGTACAGGGGGGTTCCTGACCCCTGCCAGGGTCCCAGACCTGCCAGGGCAGCCAGAGGGAAGCCCTGGATTCCCACAGAAAATCTCAATCCTGAAAATAGTATATCTGATTCATTTTTTATCTCTGTTACTTGGCAGCCTGAGCATACTTGCTGCATCCTGCATTGCAGGGATGTGCCTTTTTTTTTGCAATACTTGTCAAATATAAACCAGGTATCAGTATTTGAGCCTTCCACTATATGTTTGCTATTTTGAAGTTAAGAAACTATTTTAGAATTCATTTTCATAGCAAATAGATGATTTAGACAGTGGGCAACAGCTTAGTGGCTTCAATGACTTGCTCGTTATGTATGAACACCAAGAAGAAATTACAGTGAGAATACAGAGACAGTGGTGTTAAAAGCACGAGATTTGTTGGTAATCCATAAAGCAACACCTATTTTATAGACTAAATACATAACACAAAATGATGATTGCAAAACAGAGATGATGTTTAAAAAGGATTAGGAACACAGGGTTGCTTTTAAAATAGCAAATATTTTTGCATTGCTATTTGGGATTTGCCACAGTACACAAAAATGAAGTTAACTCTCTTATGTATTAATGGAATTTAAAAGCCAGCAGGGTGGCAATACTAGGGGTCTTGCCTCAGTGTGGTTCAAAACAAGCAGACTGTTGAGATATTTATGCCATCCTCACAGCAGGGGTTTGGTAAATAATCTCCTTGGTCTTTCCTGTTAGAGCTTCTGTTTACATCAGTGTTGTTAAATCATTGTAGACATTTAAATGAACGGGTTCATTAATGTTGTTCTCATTCTCATCTTCTCATTCATGGCAACCTTGCCAAAAGTCTATGGGCCAGGGGAAACAGCAGATCCCACCTCATTGCTCTGTCAAATACACATTTTACTTTCAAACGAAATGGCAAGGCTACAATATTCTCAGGGCCCCATTCACAAAACCTGGGTTTCTGAGTGATTATTAAATGCCCATGACTATGATGGGGAATGGCTCAGGAATGGCTGTTTGGGGTTTGGGGCTGCTCCCTCTGAGGGGAGGAATGGATGACAAATGGCAGGTATTTCACTGCATCTAATCAGGTTTATTTGTAAGGAACACACACGAGCTCTCTCTCAATGGCCACAGGGAGAACACCCCTGCAGCAGCCCCATTGCTCATAAATTCATAAATCCGAGTGTACCTTTCCAGCACAAAGTGTGCCTAAAAGAACTTGTCCTCCCATGGCAACGTTTACCACCTTCCTCTTCGCTTGCTAGACTGCACAGGCACACTAAATCTTGCCTTTCTTACCATGCCAATAGAAATCCCTTAGTCTGGAGCTTGACAAATGCTTTTTTCAGCAGCATCAGGGAAAAAAAGCGTTATTTTGAACTGAAATCAATCCTAGACTTTATTCTTTCCCCAATGACGCAAGCAGTCAGACTGGCACAACTTGAGAGGTAGCAGAGGAATCAGAACAAGCAGCTGAAAGCAGCTTAGCTTGTTGTGCTCTCCAATAAAACAAAACAAACATGATAATTTTAAAATTTTGAATAAGTTTTCAAAAATTTTTCAGATGGCATCATCCCTATTTTGTAGTTTAGGAGATAGATATTTAAAACTGCAGTCTGAAAAATTGCCCACAGACTTAGAAGCTTATGTCCATTCAAAATGCTTAAATCATATAGTTCTAAACCTCCCCCCTCACATTTACAAGGGGAGAAAGCTGTCTAAGAAAGCTTTGAAAATAATTATTTTAGTAGACAGGGTGTTCATCACAGAGAAGTCAGTGAAAAGGTAAAATACAGAATGAAAATTTAAGACATTAGACCTGCATTTCTTATTTTTTGCTGGTCTCTTGTTATCATGACAACACTAATAATAACCAAGGATAAACATTGCATACATACTACTCTAGTTCTTCATACAGCCTGGTTACATCTAAGAATTCAAATTATTCTTAATAACAGTATTTCATAAGGAGGAGAAGAAGTTTTTACTCTTAACTCTTTCAAACCAGATTTTTGTATCACCTTTGTATAAAGATGATGTGAAATGGGGGAAATCACCTAATTTATACAATTTGTGAATGTAAAATTAGTCTAAAAAGCAAAGTTGTGTCATGAATTGACACCTGACACAGAGAGACAGAAAAGAGATCCAGGAGGGACAATTCTGTAACCCTTAAATATCAGGACCACAGGAAACTTCTCAAACCACAAATAACACATAGACAGATCTGCCTGGATCTCCTGCACAGGCTTAAAAAGAAGAATAAATCTTAGTAAGGTTCAAGATGACCTGATTTCTGTGACTAAGAAAATCAGCAATGCTGCAGTAGCTAATGCTGTCAAGAAGTTTGGGCAGGATATGAAGTTTTGTAGTAAGGAGACAAAGTTAATCTTAGCCAGAAGAATCAACTAGTTGTAGA